CCAGGAGCCCCTTGGAAGAAGCAGCAATCAAGCTATGAGGGGGAGGGCGAGGGGCAGAAGGAGCTACAGGAGCAGCTCTGGCTGGAGACTGAAGATTCCCGCTGGAGCGAGGAGCAAAGACTGAAGGCTCCAGCTGCAGCAAAGACTGTGTCCAGAGCGAAGATGGAAGGTGGTGGCCAGAGTGAAGGTCTAGGTCCCGGGTGCCAGAGGAAAACTGGTGCTGGCAGCCAGGGGAAAGAAGGCCTAATGCTCGAATCTTAAAAATATTAAAAAATTTAAAATTAATAAAATATTAATTGAAATGTATCTGCATTACATGAAAAATCTCCTAATTGCTTCTAGCATAATTTATTAAATTGTGCTAAAATTTACAAGGGTTCAATTAAAAAATATCTTAATTCTAAATGATATAATAGAAAATATATAATAGTGCAGTTATAAGCACTTATCTGAAAATAAAAATTTAAAGAAGTGAATTTAAAGAAGGGATTAGCCAAGGAAAATATATGCACAACCCATGGACACAGACAACAGTATGGTGATGGCCAGAGAGAAGTGGGGGGCAAGAGCTGGGAAGAGGGGGCAAAAAGGGGGAAATAGGGACATCCTCTATAATAATAATAAAAGGCTAATATGCACATTGACTGAATGGCAGAATGACCGGTTGCTATGATGCGCACTGGCCACCAGGGGGCAGACACCCAATGCAGGAGCTGCCCCCTGGTGGTCAGTGCACTTCCATATGGGGAGTGCCACTCAGCCAGAAGCTGGCTCATGGCTGGCGAGCGCAGTGGTGGTGGCAGGAGCCTCTCCCATCTCCGTGGCAGCACTAAGAATGTCCAACTAACGGTTTAGACCTGATCCCTTGGGGGCCTAGGCCTTTAGTTGGACATCCCCCCAAGGCTCCCTGGCTGCCAGAAGGATGTCTGACTGCCAGCTTAGGCCTTATCCCCCCAGGGAGTGGACATCCCCCAAGGGGTTCTGGACTGTGAATGGGCATAGGCCGGGCTGAGGGGATGCCCCCCCCCCCGCCCCAATGCACAAATTTCTGTGCACCGGGCCTCTAGTTATCTATAATAATAAAAGGGTAATATGCTAATTAGACCAGACATCTTCTGGATGTCATTCTGGATGTCCTTCCTGACGAAGCCGGTGTTGGAGAGAAGCCAGCCCGAGTCCTGGGTGCCTGCGGACGGCTAGAGGAGGGAAGCCCGGGTACCGGGTGCCTGCCAGCGGCTGTAGGAGGGAAGCAGCCCTTGTCCCGGGTGCTGGAGGGAAGCCAGTGCCGGTAGCTGGGGGAAGGAAGGTCTACTCTTGCACAAATTTTCATGCATTGGGCCTCTGGTAAAGGATATAATAAAGGATACAAATGATCAGCCAGATGAAGAGGCACATAGGGTGAGGTCCAGAGGTTCCTGAGTGCAGGAGCTTTGTTCCTGTGGAGTTGGGGTGCACCACCCTCCCAGCACTTATTTGTGTTAACCAACTCGGAAGTTCTCTGAACCCCTTAGTTTAGGGATTTTTGTGGAGCTTTTTCACAGACTTATGATCAATTATTAACTCAGTGTCCAGCCCCTCCCCCCTCTCCAGAGGACAGAGCATGGGGCTGAGAGTTCCAACCTTGTAGTCACAGCTTGGTCTTTCTGGTGGCCAGGACCCATCTTGAAGCTATCCTGGAGCCCACCTAGAGTCCTGCCATTAGAACAAAAGGCACTCCCATCACGCAGCAATTCCAAGGGATTTAGGAGCTCTATGCAAATGCTCTTATCACCCCTATCACTCAGACAATTACGAAGATTTTGGAGGCTGTGTCAGGAACTGGGAGGTCAATGACTAAATATTAGAATAAAAGATGTTCTTATCAACCCTATCTCTCAGGAAATTTCAAAGGTTCTAGGAGCTCTGTGTCAGGAACTGAGAAAAGAGACCAAATACATATTTCTTATTATGCCATAGGTGGATATATGACATTATATATTTGGCAAAACCCATAGGACTGTACAACACAAAGATAAACCCTAATGTAAACTCTTGTTCATAATAATCCATTAAATATTTGTTCAACAATGTGACAAATGCATTACACTAATGCAAAGGGAAACTGTAAGCAGGGGAGAGAGGGAATGTTCTACACTAACTGCTTAATAATCTGCAAACCTGAAACTGCTCTAACAAAACAAAATATATTAATTATTTTTTAAAAGAAAAAAATTTGAATAGTCAATAAGGTTAGCTGTCAAACTGGTCAGTGAAAACAGTAATATAACATTTATGGAGAGGAATTTAGTACAGAAATAATCTAGTTAAATCATTGGTTAATAATCCACGTTTTATCAGAACTGTCTGCCATGAGACCCTATCAGAAGAAGCTATGGTCTCCATGCAATTAGGAGTAACAGTTGAAAGAAAGTCTACACTGACATAAACCAGGGGCAGATATAGATAAGAAAGATAATGCTACATACTTTTAAAGTCAATGACCCCCCACCCCCACCACCACCCCTACCCCCCACCCGGGGCCTCAAGTCTTGTTTTATTCTCACAAAATTTATTCTATCTGAATTCTGAAATCTCATCATTTTTTTTTTTTTTTGCCCAAATCGCAAAAGCACACTAGGATGCCCCATCAAGAAATAAAGGCAGAAATAACTGTTTATGTCAATCTAAGATGTGCAAGCCAGAGTTATGCAGAGAAGACAGGCTGCCCTATATTTTGTCCTTTTCATTCTATCCTTCTGTGCAAGTTACCTCCTTGCATCATATTCGTTTTCAAATAGTGCTGAGAATCTTTCCATCCTGGATGGTTTGTAATATTCTACACACCCTTGTCACTTACTGTTTCTGTTTAACATCTTTCCATGGGAGACAGTATATAGCTAGAGTTAGAAGGTGGCAGAAACTGTGTAGTGAAGGAGAGTCTGAGCTTTGAAACTAGGCTGTCTGGTTCACATCCTGGCTCAGCTGTGTAATCCTGAGCAGGCTACTCAACCTCTCTGTTATTTCAGTTTCCCATCTATAAAATGGAGATCAAAACATTAACTGCTTCTTCATAGAGCCCATTGTGAAGATTCAATGGCTTAATAGACCTTAATCGCTTATAACAGTGCCTGGCACTCTAAATCAGAGTCAGTAAAATTGTTCAGTGAAGGGTCAAATAAATATTTAAGGCTTTGCAGGGTCATATGGTTTCTGTTGCAACCCCTCAATGATGCCTTTGTAGGACAAAAGCAGCTGTAAATGAATGAGGTGGCTGGTTCCAATTAAACTTTACGGTCACTGAATTTGAATTTCATATAATTTTCACTTGTCATGAAATATTATTCATCTTTTGATTTTTTCAACCATTAAAAAATGTAAACACTTTTAGCTCAGAGTTTGTACAAATATGGGCAGTAGGCTGGGTTCTAGGGCCACAGTTTGCTGACCCATCTCCTATCTAATTAATAGACATTATTATGCCTTTATTATCTTACTATAAATTAGTTTAAATGGCTGCTTATAACAAGATTGCTTGGATGTCCTATAATTTACTCCGTCCCCTACGGTTAGAATTTAGGTTGTTTCCAGTACTCATTGAATGTCACCCTCCAATGAATATCCCTGCAAAATCTTTGGGCACATTTGTTATTACATCCACATCCTACAGTGTGTCTATTGGTAGCAACTATAATGGCTGGCAGAGCATCTAGAAAGAAACAGACTTAAGAAGTAGCCTTGAAAATTAATCCTATATAGTTATAGCAAATTTCAAACATGTTAGAGAAGGAATTTTATAAGTATAAGATATATTCACGTACATTGAACTATGTACCACATACCACTCTAAGCCATATGTGTATATACATATATATAATCATTTAGTCCTCAAAACAATCCTAGGAGGTACAAGTGCAATCATCATCATCATCACCATCATTACCAGCCCCATAGTACAGAAGAAGAAACTGAGGCACAGAAAAGCCAAGTAACTCCCCCAAGGTCACAGTTGGCTGTAGCAGAGCCAGGATTCACACCTGGTCTGTCCAGCTGGCACTACCCCCTATGATCTAGAATGCTGAACTGCCCCTTCGCTGATGAGGCGTGGCACTCCAGGTACTCACTTTATAATGTAACTGTAGTGCTTTGTACATTTAGATCATGTTTGGCACCCACGAGGGACCCCAGACGCTAATAATAGGCACAAATTCTATCCCATAAATGGGACACTTGGGTGGAAACTGTGAATGCCCATCTAACCTTCCTCCTTAGTCATCCAGCCCCTCCCCCTCATGCCAACTTTTCATTCATTTGCCCTGCATTTCTTACCCACATGGCTGTCCTCTACAAACAGTAAAGGTTGATTGGAGCGTACTTTCACATCTTGTTTTCCAATTTAAGGTCCCAACTCGACCAAATTTACGTGGCCTATTCGGTGGAGCTTCGCTAACAAGAGAGGGCCCCGCCCCGCCAAGGGAATGCAAATTTCGGGTAAATGCTTTCCTTTGAAAACAAAACAGTGGGTGGGTCTCGTCAAAAGTCTCTCCCTCGTGGCACCCGCAGCAGCAGGGCTGGCTGGGTCCGGCCCCTGGCGGGTCCCCGAGGGCGGTGTCCTGAGTCCAAGTGAACCAAACCGCCAGCCTCCGCCGCCGGTGCTGAGCAGCGGGCGACTGTCCCAGAGAGGAGTTAGGCGCGGGGTCGTGCGACTTTGCAGGGGAAATGAAGACGCCAGTGCTCATTTCTCCTCCTCTCCTCTCTCCCTGCGGGGCTCTGCCGCTCGAGGTATATCCCGGGGGGATGAGCGACGCCGCCGCCGGTCCAAGATGCCGCCCGCACCCACGCTCATGACCAAACAAGGGCAGAATCGAGCGGTGGAGAGGGAACAGGGGCAGAAAGAAGCGGGTGTTTCAAAGTGACCACGGCGGTGCCGCCGCGGCCGCGAGTTGGAGGAGCCGGGAGGGGAGCCGGGTGGAGGGCGGGGGCTCCGCCCGCCGTGGGGCGCCGGGCGCGTGCGCGGTGCGGCCCCAGCCCCGGCCGCCGCCGCCCGCTGCCTATTTTAGTCCGAGCGGCTGCGGGCGCGGGGACCCGACGCGCGCCGAGCAGCCTCCGGACCCGCCGAACCTCCGAGGCTTGGGCGTCCGGGCGCCCGTCGGGCCGCCGCGCCGGTGTCCCCCGCGCCCCGCCGCTCGCTGCTCCAAACTTTGGCCAGCGCCGCCCAGGCTCGGTGCCAGGGACGAGCCAGGTAAGGAGCGAGGCGCCGCTGACGCCCGGAGCCCGGCTATTTGCAGCCTCGCGCTCCCGGGCTAAATCGGGAAGCGAAAGTTGGATCCCTGCTCCCCTGGGAGCAACTTTGCGGGCCCCGGCGCCCCGCCTGCTCCTCGCGGGCCGCGCCCTCTCGGGGGCTTCCCGGTCCCTCGAAGCCGCCACTCGCGTTTGGGAGCGCCAGCGTCCCCGGGCGCTCGGGCCCCATCGGGTGCCGGTTCCCGCGCTCTGCCTCCGGCAGATCCTTGGGGAGCTCGGCCTCGGCTCACCCCCGCTGGGGTCCCGGGGTTTCCTGCCCCTGAACCCACGGCGGCTCCTCCTCGCCCCCTGTAGGGCCGCCGGGTCCTGCACCGAGACGGTGCGCTGTGTCGCCGCCGGCCCGGAGCTGGGAGTGTGAGGAGCAACGCGCTCAGGGCGCATCCCTCGTAGTCCGCGAGCTCGGGATCCAGGAGAACAGTGGACACCGACCCCTTCTTTCAGGAACCAGGTGAGCAGATGGCTCGGGAACCCGAGATCCTCGCCACCTCTACCACCCCACCTGCCCCCTACCCCCGTGCCCTCGTTAACCAGGCGTTGGGAAACCGGTTGTTGACCACACAAGTCACAGGAATTGCTTGTTTTTAAGAGTGGAAAGACTCTTAGCGACATAATGCCCCTTGGGATTCCGAAGATGCGCAAAGGGTCCGTTGGAATCACAGAGTGAATTGAATAAGTATACTAGCACGACTTTTGCTCCTTGCTGTTATCTTTCGTTTTTGTAGTTTGGTGATGGGTTAGAGTTAGTTTCACCATTGAGCTATTTAGCTTGCAAACACCTTTTTGAAAACCAATAGATAAACAGGACTTTACTAGAACCAGTAATTTTAGGAATTGGGACTCCTAGAACAAATAGAAGAAAGAAGTTTTATTAATTTAATCAAAATGAATCAAAGTTTACCATACTCATCTGCCTCATTAGACCCATTCATTCTCGGTATTAGGATAGTTCAGTGTAAACCATTTAAATCCACTAATATAGATCAAAGGGAGCTGAAATTGGCAAGATCCTATCTATCAATATTTATTGACAATAGGTAATAGACATATCAAAATAGACATAAATATATATAGACAAATAGACAATAAATATACAAGTAAAATTATTTATAATGTATGATGTTAATATCATACACTATAATAAATACATATAGAAACTTAAAGGTATGAACTGTGTATATATATCTCTAATAAGGTGTAGTGCATCAAAATATGTTATAAGATGATCTCAACTTTAAAAAATTTATATTATTATCTCCCAGTTCTTCAGTCAGTAGATTGTAGTTTTCCTATCATTTCTCTTGGACCAAAAATTGGTACTTTTCGTACTGCAGTGAATTAGTTGGTAATACAAGTATAATCAGGTGAATGTATGTGTGTGTGTGGGGGGGGGTGTATTAATTAACTTATTATATAAATGTGTATTAGAGGCACAGGCCACATAATTTGAAGAGGTTTGAGACCTCTAGTCCAGCTGCCTCTGTTCAAGGACTCTGATTCTCAACCTTAGGAAGGGTAACCATTCTCCCGTCTTTACTGTTGAGGTTTGGGGAGACTGAAAAGTGATTTCTAACTGTGTTCCTCATTGTTTGTGTCCCTTCCGTATGGCGTTCACCTCTGGCATTCTCTACATGGATGAATATGTCATTGACTCTGCCTCATGGAGAACATAGGGTAGTTAGAAGAACAAATAGGACAAAGGGAGTGAAAGCACCTTCTAAGGTACAATAGAAATGGTAGTTATTGTTAGCTTACGTAATGCTAACACATAAGCTGACATAGACAGTAGTTTATGAGTGAATCACTCTCCCTCCTGCAGAAATTATGAGGTTAATTCTGATTTGATTCCCAGTGAAAGCAAACTTTGTGTAGGTAGAGTTACTAAAATAATGATGTCCCCTATCCTAATAGGCTTCTATTTTTATTGATTCCAACATTTGGAAAGTAGTTGAATTTTTGTCATTTCTTTTCTTTTTGCAGAAAATCAATACTAAGTCAACTATTAATCTTGTATTTATTAGCTATTTCAGAATTATGTGAAGAGATCTTTAAATGACTTGATCATTTCATTCACAATTTGTAAGTTTGTGTGTATGTTCTTTAATCATCTTAAGAGATGTGAAATTCTTATACATTTGTCTAATAACATATTTTCAAAATGTCCAACCTGTACCAATTATTTTCCCACCTAAAACCTTTACTTTAGTATGATAAAAAAAAAAAGAATGGAAAAATATGGTTAATTGCATGACCTTATTTGGAAAGAATACATATTTTAAATTAAAGGTATTTTCAGTTCCCATTTGGAATTCTTTTCTTGAAACAGAATAATTCACCTATTCTGTAAATCTGCATAGTTTTTGTCAGGGACCAGTTTGTATACTTAATAATAGAAAGACTGTTTAAATGTCAGAGATGGAGGACAGGTAATATGGTCAGAAAGTAGTGCCACTTTGTGTAAAATACTTATTCTTTGAAATGTATTCACCACAGATTTTAATATTAAATAGTTAAATGTATAGTCATGTCCTACATATAAGTAAAATGGAAGTTTGCTACTTTTCAATTTGTGAGATGCAACCAACTAGGATTTTTATGAGAAAGAAAATAGAGATTTAAATTAGACACTAAAAGATGGAGTAAATGTTATAACTTTCTGTGTATACATAAAGATTATAGTAATGTATTCATTAAGTACATATATGCTAATGTAGAATGTATATATATATATATATATATACACATATATATAATACAATTATTTCACAATATAAAAATAGAGCCTTCTAAATATCCTAAGCCTTCATATTTAAAAATGAGGGTATTAGTTTTTTCAAAGTATTCAAAAAATAAGTTATTCCAGTTATTGTTCCTGTTTTTAGATTTAGTGTCACTATTGGAAATGTTATAGAAGACTATACTAAATAACTTTATAATTGCTGTAGTGAGTGCACATTGGTGATTATCTTTCAGACTAGCTAATTCCACCATCCCTCTCTCCTTCACCATCATGTATGTGTATATACAGATATGTATATTACAGATACATATACATATATATATACTAGAGGCCTGGTACATGGAATTCATGCACGGGAGGGGGGGGGGGTCCTTCAGCCCGGCCTGCAACAACACCAGCATCCCTCACCCCGGCCTGAGGTCTCTCCCCTCCCTCCATTTGGCTGGGGCCCCTCCCCTCCCTCCATGGGGCCGGGCCGCAGACGCTGGGCTCACGTTGCCGGGGCGCCGTCGCCAGCATCCCGCCCCGGCCACTATGGGCACCGCCATCTTTGTCACAGAGTGATGGTTAGTTTACATATTACTCTTTTATTAGAAAGGATAAACTAGAGGCCCAGTGCATGAAAATTCATGCACTGGAGTGGGGGGTCCCTCAGCCCAGCCTGCCCCCTCTCACAGTCAGGGAAGCAACCCAGCGATCAGGAGAAGGCGACGCCCCATCACACCTCTGCTGCTGCCACTGCCAGCAGCGCAAGGCTTGGCTGGCCTTGGTTACCTGAGACCCGGGCGACCCTGGGCAGCTGAGCAGCTGCCATCCAAGGCTTGCCTGTGCCTCGGGCCCACCCTAGGCAGCTGAGCAGCTGCCATCCAAAGCTTGTCTGCACCTCAGGCTGACCCTGGGCAGCTGGGGGACTGAGGGCAGGTCTGGCCGCACTGGCTGGGCTGAAAGGACTGTGGGACTCTGCCTGAGGACGGGTCCGGCCGTTCCTTGTGCCTGCCACCCCGTCCACCCCCCCCCCCCCACCCTCGGCAGGGCTGAGGGGACTGGGCGCTGCCATCCTGTGGCTATGGGTGCCATCATCTTTGTGATGACATGATGGTCAATTTGCATATTCCCTCTTTATTAGATAGGATATCAGAGAATAGTTGTGCACCATGCTAAATATTTTATGTATTTTATTTCACTTATGGTAAAGTCAAATGTTAATCTTAAAGTCAAATGAGGAATTATTATCATCATTTAATAGATAAGGATTCAGCATGTAACAGAGCTTGGATTGGGACCTGGATCTGTCCAATTCACAAACACCAGAGAAGTCTATTTACCAACATTTGGTCCACAGAAATAATTTTGTTATAACACCTATCGGGGTGATACATACAGCCACCATTTTTATGATTGTCCTTTTGTTTGTTTTTACAGGAATTTTCAAGATGAATTATACTGAGTCCAGCCCATTGGCAGAATCACCTGCAATAGGTTTTACATCTAAGTTAGAAAGTATTATACCTGTGCCTTCCAATGAGACCACCTGTGAAAACTGGAGAGAAATACATCATCTAGTTTTTCATGTAGCAAATGTTTTTTTTGCAATTGGGTTGGTTATTCCAACTACTCTTCACCTCCATATGATACTTCTTAGGGGGATGTTAGCTATAGGTAAGAAACCTGACTGAGATTTTATGTACCTTCTGTAACTGGCACCTGATGGGAGCTTTAGAGAATTTCCTGTCAGGTCAATAGCATACCAAAAATATGACTTTGTTATTGACTTAGCAGTGTATCAAATAACTTAGAACATAGGCCTTTTATAAGCCATACCCTTATTTTAGGTAATCCTTTGTATGTTTTCATCTGTTCTTTAGATTTCCCAGATATCAGAAAATCCATTCCTGTGTAAGAGTGTGAATTTTGGAGCCAGATTTTATGATTTGAACCCTGGTTCCAGCACTTGCTAACTGTGTAACTGGAGCAAGTGATTTAACCTCTCTATACTTCAGTTTCCACATGAGTCCAGTAGGGTAAAAATAATACCTCCTCCTAGGGTTGTTGTGAGTATGTGTGTGTCTCTGTGTGTGTGTACACATTTGACTTACAGTAGTGCTTGGCACAGTAAGTACTAGATAGTCTTCAATATTATTATTTGAATAGGCATATACTTGCTATGGGCAGGAAGCAACATTAGGAACAAGAGCAATTCCCAGACACAGTAGTTTAAATAAAACTTTTATGACGGACTCCAGTAATCCTGATGAAGCAGATTAAATTGATTCACATCAAAATATTAAAACAATTGAATTTACTATTTTAGCCAGTGATTCATTTTTTCTTTTACATATTTTTATTGATTTCAGAGAGGGAGAAAGAGATAGAAATATCAATGATGAGAGAGAATCATTGATTGGCTGCCTTCTGCAGGCCCCACACTGGGGATCGAGCCCACAACCCAGGCATGTGCCCTTGACCAGAATCGAACCTGGGACCCTTCAGTCCAGGTCAATGCTTTATCCACTGAGCCAAACAGGCTAGGGTTTAGCCAGTGATTTTTGACAGATTACTCTCTGTGATTATTTCCCTAATGATTCATTTATTCAGGTGCATTTTTGAGCACCTGCAATTTATCAGACAAAGATTGAAGAAGGCAGTCTCCCTTCTTGAGAAAGACACTCTTTGGGGGCCAGAGAACAGATGGGTGGCCATATGTGATGCAGGGGTGCCCAGTGCCAAGGAGAAATGGAGAGAGTGATAGCCTTAGCATGATGGTGGAGCAAGGTCTCACTGAGGAAATGACGTAGGAGCTGGCTTTTGGATGAGCAGGATTCCTTTGAGTGTGAGTGTGTGGTATCCAGGTAAAAGGCACAGGGGAGAAGGCATATTTAGGGAGAATGAGCACTAGCTCATTGTACCTCAAATATATGAAATATGGCATGGAATGGCCAATGAGCTAGAATGGAAAGGTATCTAGAAGGTAGCTTATGGGACTTCCTTGTCTGTGTTACCTCTGAGTAAAATAGTGATTGCAGCAGGAAAGCAGAGTGTTGAATAGAAAAAACAAATAACATACCTTATAAAAATCAAAAGCAAAAAATGAATTTGAAGACAGAGTTTTGGAGGTGGACTAAGGAGATAATTTAACACCTTATAAATGAAGAAACAGGCCTGGAGAAGTTAAATGACTCACCAAAACTAAGGCTGGGAGATAGTGGCCTAACCAGGACTATACTTCAGGTCCTCCAGCTTTCCAGCCAGCCCTCCCATTAGGTTATCCTGTCTCATTTAAGTAATAGTTTACATTTTTTCAAATTTAGCTATGAAATATTTAAAGAACATTTAAGGTTTTACATGTCATGCTGTTATTTAGATGCCCCAAATTATTCTGATGAAAAGAAATTGCAAATGAATAACTTTTTAACATGGGAGGTTAGTTTTTATGTGTGTGTCATTGATATATTTGTATAATATTGGTTATTTTATTTTAAATTAAAAAGATATTTGTTGATGCTCTCACCATAAAATTAATCAAAAGAAGCTATTGATATTTGATTTAAAGTAAGAGACTCGATAAGGAAAACTAGGAAGATTCTCATAGGTGAATGGATAACCACCAAATGGTGAAAAGATATTCAGATGGGTAAAATATTCAAACTCACCAGAAATTATGGAAATGCAAAATATAATTGTACAAATTATACAAAATTCCTCACTATCAAATTAAGGGCTTTCAAATTTTATAATATTGACACTTTGATACTTAACATTCCCAACTAGTAGGATTATAAATTTTAGAAACCTTTAGGAAAACAATTCTTCAATGTCACCAAAAGCTATGAAGTTCATTCCCTTGACTTACTGTCAGGTAATCTACCCCTAAGCAAACAGTCACAAAAACAGATCAATTTTTACATATAAAGATGTTTTGGCTACTTATCAAAAATTATACCTCAGCCCTACCCGGTTTGGCTCAGTGGTGAGAGCATCGGCCTGCGGACTTAAGGGTCCCAGGTTCGATTCCGGTCAAGGGCATGTACCTTGGTTGCAGGCACATCCGTTTCTCTTTCATCGATGTTTCTAACTCTCTATCCCTCTCCCTTCCTCTCTGTAAAAAATCAATAAAATATATTAAAAAAAAATTATACCTCAAACAAATTTCATCTGTCCACCAATAAGGAGGTGGTTGAATAAATGATGATCTAATCAGTTACAGTCATTAAAAACTACATATGCTACCTCATCTCTAAAATTAAATAAAATTGTAATAAACCTTATCTCAAAAGGTTGCTATGATAATTAAGTAAAATAAATGTATCTATAAAGATAATTCTAACTCCAAAGGACTAACCAAATACTAGCAATTATTTTCCTCTTGGAAAAATTCAGAGGACATGCTTTGTATTTTATTTATTGTCCATAGGTTAGTGATAATAAACTCGTAAAACAATCAGTAGCTTTCTGTAATCCCAACTGCTGCTTACACTAATATGAATAAACTAGAGGCCCGGTACACAAAATTCGTGCACGGGTGTGTGTGGGGGGTGGGGCGGGGCGCGTCCCTCAGCCTGGCCTGCACCCTCTCACAATCTGGGAGCCCTCAGGGGATGTCCAACTGCCAGTTTAGGCCCGATCTGGGCCTGCCTGTCTGATCGCCCCTTACCACTTTGCCTGCCTGCCTCATTGTCCTTAACTGCTCTGCCTGCCTGATTGCCCCTAACTGCTCACCTGCCTGCCTGATGGCCCCTAACCGCCTCTGCCTCAGCCCCTGCCACTACAGCTTTGTCCAGAAGGACGTCGGAATGACATCTGGAAGGTCGTTTGGCTGTCCAGTCTAATTAGCATATTATGCTTTTATTATTATAGACTAGAGGCCTGGTGCACGAATTTGTGCACAGGTGGGGTCCCTTGGCCTGGCTGGCAATCGGAGCCATCTCACCCAATCCCGATTGGGGCTGGCTGGCAGGCGGGTGGAGGGGGAGAAGGACCACAGGAGGTTGGCTGGCCACAGGAGGTTGGCTGTAGGAGCACCTGACCACCAGGGGGCAGCTCCTGCATTGAGCGTCTGCCCCTGGTGGTCAGTGCACATCATAGTGACCGGTCAACTGGCCATTCAGTTGTTTGGTCATAGATGAGAATTATAATAGACTTATTTTGAATATTTTAATTATGTATCTTAAAAATAATTTTAGATTCACCTGCCAAAAAAACACCCACCCATGTACTCAAAGACTTCTAATATAATGGGAAAATTGCTGCAATAAGTGACAGAGATGTTTTAAAATTATATATGGTAGTTCTGCCATCAGGTAACAATGCATAAACACTGTAAAGAAGTATTAAATATCACTAGTGGTTTTCTCTATTAGAATTACAGGTTTAAAAAAATATTTTCTAACTTTACAAATTTTCTGCAACAAAGCACGTTTTTCTTTTTTGATAATCAGACCAAAAAAATGAAAATGTGATGTTTGGCTTAGGTATTTCTAGGATGTGTTTGGTTTATTTTATAATTTATTAAGCTTCATGCTAACGCTGTTCTAAACATGTAACATATTTAATTTTGTTATTCAACAGGATGCTCTTTTTACATCATGTGGGCCACACTCTACCGATGTGCCTTGGATATCGTGATCTGGAACTCAGTGTTCCTCGGTGTCAATATGTTGCATCTTTCATATCTTTTGTTCAAGAAAAGACCGGTAATTACTAAAAATTAATTAGCAAGGAAGAGATTTTAAAGCTTAAAAGCTTTTAGAGCACTTTGTTCAGACTTGAGAACAAGCATCTAACATCGTTAGTCCCTTCAGTATCATTCCGGATGAAACTTACTCTTTATATAAATGCCTGAAAGTGAAACATTTGAATACCGTGAAATGTGTTCTACAGATAGGTTGTTTAAGTTTTTTAAATCATTAGGGCTGTTTAGACATGAAACAACATGATAACATTCTCTCTTTTTTCATCATATAACTTCATTTCTTTTGTGTATTGATATTCAGATGTTACTTGGGAATATCTTTGCCTATTTATAAAATTATTTATAGGCAACTTCAATAAACATATTAGCGATTCACAAATACCTCATGCTATTTTTTTTCATGCTAGTTTTTAAATATAATGACTATATTTTTTATTATGCTCAAAATACTCATTTAAGGATATCACCACTTTTGGTGAGTTGTCATCAAAACACTAGGATTTAACTTCTTTTCAATTCTGATTTATCTTGCTGTGTTTCCTTGGTTATATCAAGAACAAAAAGGTGTACATAGAACAGGAAAGCAGCAAAGCTCCTAGAATTCACTCCATACTTATTTACTGACTGTGCAAAGCACATGCAAATACTCAGTAAAGTAAAAAATACAGTGCTTGCCCTTGCCCTAATATTATGTTCAAGGCCAGACGTGTGTAGAAAACTGTTAGAAAACAAGACAATTCCTGGGAATTTATACAGATGATATATATAATAGACATTCCATGAGATTATAGCCCAGTCTGTTTTCCCTAGTACATTACTTTTCTCTAGGTTATGCTGTATAATAAACAACCTGAAAGTCCCAGTGATATACACCAGCAACAGGTTTTTTCTCACCCACCTTATATGTGGACTCTGGCAGCTGTGTGTCAACCATGACTCTGTTCTGTGTGTCTTCTTCATTTCGGAGTCTCTGCTGAAGCAGCAGGTTCTGCTTGCACATGCATTCTCATAGCAGAGAGAGAAGTTCAAGAGACCCATTGTCTCTTAAAATTTCTGCTCCAAAGGGGTATATGTCAATTCTGTTCACATTTTATTGGCCAAAGCAAGTGACATGGTTATGCCTGATAATGTGGGGGTAGGATGGGGTTAGGGGATGTATAATACTCTTACAAGTGGTAAGAGCAGTAAATAGTTGGGAATAATAATATTATCTGCTACACTTATTGTTGTAGTCCCTGTTCCTATCAACCATGATTGGCACATAGTAGGTGCTCAAAAAACATTTGATGACTGGATGCTTCCAAAGAGAACAATTGAGAGGGCTTCATGAAGGAACTGGGGCTTGGGCTAAGACATGCAGGTTTCGAATATGAGTCAGTAGACTCTTCAGTTCATATGTTCATTACTGTGCTACTCTGGCTAGCGTATATACTGGAAGTGGGACATATATGTGAATAAGTTATTTTAAACACATTATGAGCACTCCAGAGTGGAGGAGGGACATGACAGTTATAATGAGGATTACAGTTTCTGAATTTAAGAATTTGCTGGAACCCAAGTTTTGAACATAAGGTTCAGAAGTTGCTGATGTGATGGCCGCTCCCAATGAGTAAATCACTTAGTATCTGTGCTTTTGTTTTTTTCTTGGATGATAAACCTCCTTTTTTGAAAAATATAAATGCTGGTTCTTCATTGCAGTTGAACAGCAGGACAAGTACTCATCTGGATGTATAAGCTTCATAGTGTGACTGCCATAGGGTTTATTGGGATGGATGATCATTTGAACCCCAACGTTCATTGACATGCACTCTAGTTTTCCCAGACTAATGCTGGGCCCAAAGATGGGTGTGACCTGGGCCTTGGTTGTCTCACAACAGAGGCAGTTGGGTCATTTTGCTTTTCTCTTTCTCCAGTAGCTAGTCTTACTCACCAGTGGGTTCTCTATTCTACAGATTTTATCTTAGCTTAAAACTGTTACTCTGAAACCCTTTTACACTCTTCACTTTGCTGCAGAATGAATAAATGAGAAGCAATGTTTGCATTTGTGGGTGATCGCCTTCCTGTATCGATGCATTAAATGATAATTACATGTAGGTAAAACACCTACTGTATGTATTTTCATAAATGTGTTTTTACATTGATTCCTATTGTTTATTTTCTGCTACATATTTCAAAGTTAGTGTAATTTCTGTGAAATAATATTGTTCTAAAAATGAAAAGGTTTTGTGTTGTTTATAGAAAATGCTAAGATTGGGAAGGTGAATGCTGTAATAACAGTCACAACCTCCACGGTTGCTTTATAGCAGCTAGGGAGAGGTGTGATCAATAGTGCAAATCTTCTCCATATGCTCTCTGCAAAAATGCCCTTTTAGCATCTAAACTCATATCATCACTTATTCACTGTGTGAGATTCCACTGACTGAAATACGGAACGGTGAGGGTCTGCGTTACAAATTTTTTTTTTTTTATATATATTTTATTGATTTTTTACAGAGAGGAAGGGAGGGAGATAGAGAGTTAGAAACATCGATGAGAGAGAATCATCGATCAGCTGCCTCCTGCACATCTCCTACTGGGGATATGCCCGCAACCCAGGTACATGCCCTTGACCGGAATCGAACCTGGGACCTCTCAGTCCGCAGGCCGACGCTCTATCCACTGAGCCAAACCGGTTTCGGCCTGCGTTACAAATTTATTCTCAGAAAGGTTTTTGGACCACAGAAGCCACTGTTTTGATATCGCTGCATTAGTACAGCATCTGTCCTGGCTGCATTTCAGGTCAAGATTGAAAAGGAGCTCAACGGCGTCTACCGGCGATTGTTTGAACCACTCCTAGTGCCTCCAGATTTGTTCAGAAGACTAACTGGACAGTTTTGTATGATCCAAACCTTGACAAAGGGCCAGACTTATGCTGCAGAGGATAAAACCTCAGTCGACGACCGTCTGAGTATTCTCCTGAAGGGAAGGTAAGTGATCTTCTCATGGCCCCTCGGTAGTGAGTGAATGGAAGGGGATATTGTCAGATAATGGAGGAAGCGGTGGCAGACTTTGTTGGCGGGGAACTTGCATTTCACGACTGCATTTTGGAACACTACCGAGCGACCTGTTAGTTACCTGGAATTGGCTGCTCTCACCCTTGCTGGTGTCAGGACTTTCAGTTGTGAACGTTGTTCATCTTTTTTTAGCTTTTATTTAAAGTTAATGAATCAAAATTGAAGTAGGTTTAAAGTTCAAGAAGCTTGTGCATGTTTCAGAGGTGATTGTTTTTTATCACAAATATAACTTCTAGGAATCTCAGCCTTCTAGGAAGAGCCTAGTGTATATTGTTCTGGAATAATAGCTAATACCACCCTTTTTCTCTCGAAAGTTCCTGAGTTTGAGTATGGTCACTGTAGGTATAAGAGCGATGGTAGCCATTGGAAGGCACATGGGTGGGTCAATGCTAGAACTTGTCTTCTTTTTCTTATTGTTGGTGAAATTTATTTTGAAATAAATACTTGTCTTTGGGAAGTACTTTTAATTATGTCAGTCATCTGTGGAGTCTTTAAAACCTTAGTATAAACTCAAAACCCATAAGATTATGGAGATTTTAAGGATTGTCATGTTATTTTGTGAGATATTATGCATTTATTAACATTAATTTCTGTTATCAGAATGAAGGTCTCCTATCGAGGACATTTTCTGCATAACATTTACCCCTGTGCCTTTATAGATTCTCCTGAATTTAGATCAACTCAGATGCACAAAGGTGAAAAATTCCAGGTATGTTTTGGCATGGGGTTTTTTGAGGATATTTATTTACTTTATCAATTTATTTTAAATTGAGGTATAGTTGACATATAATGCCGGGAGCCGGTCCATCCTTGCTGTTTCAAGGGACCTGGTATATATGGCATACTGTTCTTAATATGTTTGCTCACCTTCTTGGCACTATGTGTTTTAACCAAGGACGCCTCTCTGAGAAAGGTTGTTTCCCCAGGTAGGGATTTTCCCCTGAAGTTAGGGAGGGAATAAAACCCCTTAACTAAGTGCCAGGCGGGTAATTAATCACTTTAACTACGAACAATCATGCTTAAGCTACATAATCTTTACTCCCTGGAATGGAGATAAGAAACACCCTAACCTTTGGAATAGAGATTGATAGGATTGAATCAACTGGTATAAATACAGATGTAACAAGACAACAGGAGACAGAACTTAGAAGACAGAACCTAGACACAGAACCTACACAGAACCTAGAGACAGAAGAACTTCGCTGGAGAGAACATGGCAAAAGATCCTGGACAGAAACTGGCCACAGAACCTAGAGACAGAACCTAGCAAGAGAACCTGGCTGGAGAACCTAGAGACAGAATCTGGCTACAGAACCTGGATAGAACATGGCAAGAGAACCTGCCTAGAACCTGGTGACTGAACCTGGCTGGAGAACCTGGACAGAACCTGGCTGGAGAACCTAGCGAGGGAACATGGCTACAGAATCTGGCTGGAGAACCTGGAGAACCTGGCTGGAGAACCTAGACACAAGAGAACATGGACACAGAACCTGGCTGGAGATCCTAACCAGAACTTCGCTGGAGAACCAAACCAGAACTTGGCTAGAGAACCCAACCATGCTGATCAACTGAACGCTGCCTCTGTGTCGTTCCTTCTTCGCTGACTCCGTCCACACCTTTGGGGACCCCTGGACCTGCTGGGGTTGGACCCCAGCAATATAACATTATATTAGTTTCAGGTGTACAGCATAATGGTTCAATCTTTGTATATATTGCAAAACAACACCCCAAAAAGTCTAGTTAACATTCATCACCACACATAATTACATTTCTTCTCTTATGATGAGGATTTTTTAAAACCCGACATGATTTTCAAGAAGACTGAAACTAGTTCATGCCTCATTAAAGTCCAAAGGATGTTATAGACGTACAGTTTAGGTTTTTTGCATGGTTTCAGCCATGCCCTGCTCCCACCCTGCCCGAGTACTGGCTTGAATAACAGGACAACTTGTTCAAGTGATGTACACTTACTAGAAGGTCTTGGACATGTTCGCTAACTGGTTGCAATGCTGTTCCCAAGCAGTTGAGCTTAAGCTACAGAAGAAAGCAAGTGCTGTATATCCAGGCTCCTCCAATTCACGCTCTCATCTTGTGTTTGCGAGAGTCAGCTGTGCACTGAGATTTATGTTCCTGTTGTTATCGTCAGTCACCACCTTTACAACTAGAACAGGGCCACTTCTTTCCTCTCCTCCTTTCCTCTGACCTCCTTACAATTTTTTCCAAAGCCTGACTTTTATCTGGTGCTTCCATTTCTCTTTTAGTGTATAGTGGCAAGTGCTTTTACAGTCTCACAGGATCCTGAAGAGAGTGGGATTTGGAGAGAGGCTGGAAACTGAACCTCCTTCGTTTCTAGAAGCAAACGGCCCCCTGTGAGGCCTGGGATACAACATGCATTACCATTTCTACTGAACTTCGAATTATTGTATTTATAATTGACCAAAAAAAAGAATTCCTACTAGTAGTTACAGTTCTCTTTCTTCTTGGGGTCTGGAATTGGGTAGTTGACAAATGTTCCTGATGATTGCTGTGAAGATCCCAGAACATGACCCAAATAGAGGTACCATAGCTGGGTGAAGGGTATGCATTCAGCCTTTCCAAACACCAGTCGGCTATTCTCTGCATAGAGTCTGGGGTAGCATTTCCTAAGTGATTAATGGATAACAGTTACTCCAGCGTCATCCAACCTGTATCCTGTACAGTTGGTTCAGACTCCATCAGAGTGAGCCCTCCGGAGAGATTGTGTACAAAATGTTCCCATTGGCAGTTCCTCAAGAGTAAAAATAGCTGTTGCACATCTGTGTAGGAGTACATCACCTCTTCATGAAGCAAGTTCCCAAATGAAAAATGTCTCATGTTCCCATGGCCAGCGTCTTACTAATTGTGCCCATGGCAGAGGACACTTGAAATTGTCAGTGGTAACTGTTCCACTCCATACTCTTTACCAGCTAATCTGACTTTTCTCTAACTCTGAACAGTTGGTTACAAGTATTCTAACAAGGAGCTACTTCCTTTACATGTTTGCTTCGGTTTGTTCTTTGGCAGTGGTGCTAATGAATTATACAATAGGGTGAAAGGAAGAAGGAAAGGCAGGTGGAATTGACTGTCCCTTGAGATTGCATGGCAAATGTTGTTCAGAGACAGGGGGTAACTGTGATGATAGACACAGTGGTAGAGCTGAGAAACAGATTCCGAACTTGCGGCTGCTCCAGACCAAAGTTCCTGTGAAACTGCTGTTTCCGGCTCTAGCCCATTCGGCAACTCCCTCAGACACCCTTGTTCTTGTGTATGGTCTTCTCATTGTGTGAGGTGTAGAGTGGCTTGGAATCTAAGGTTGAGGGGGCTGATCCAGGACCTTGAGGTAATCTCACCAAACCTGGCTGTAAATGCTTTAGTTGAACTCTACCAGAAAGAAATGACTCCGTGTCTTCCTTTGCCATGTTTGCTTTTATTTCTTCAGTAGAATTCTTCACAAGAACTCAAGTATGGCTCTGCTGAGGATACCTTAATGCCTCAAGAAGTGACTTCTTTACAGAAGCTTTAAATATTTCAATATTGATTTATAAAAATCCCTCATTAAAGTATGTTTCACTTGACTGTTGTGACAGGAAATCATTAACCAGCCACTTCTGACTTAATACCTGCTCTTATGGACTTGCAAGTCACTCCTACTTACTGCAGTGGTAGCTTATTATTCGAATACTATTGTTAAGTTTAAATTTAATAATAATTTAAACATGTTTAAAGCGTTTTTTAACCATCAATAAGAAATGGATTTGCCAAGCAAATTATAGTATCATATAAGTACCATTGCCTCCATGGAAATGAGGTTATTAAAATGGTTGGAAAGAAGTTAAATGCCTTATCTATCACCTAGATACAATTTCTGCTCCTGATGATTTCCAACTCCTTTTTTAACTCCTTGTCTCACTGTACATGCATTGTATTTTCCAAAGTCATGGATGACATCTTTATAAAATGAAGGCATCTCAACTCACCAAACCGTTTCTTCAGCACTTAGGTGCCTGGCTGTGCCGCTGTGAGTACCTGGTGCTCACCTTTCTCTAATAATTGGTGTAGTGTTTTATACAGTCACCTTGCGTTTACTTACCAATCCCCTGTTGTTTCTGGGAACTCTCAAGGACCAGCTTGACCTTATACTTCTCATCCTATAAATATTATATTTTTTTGTCATACATCTTTACTTATTGGCTTCCTCCACTAGAATATCAACTTTATGACATGTGCTTAGCTGGTCTTTGTCTGAGGGACTTTCAGTGGACTGTGAGCCTACCTTATGGCCACTTGATTACTTTCTATTTGGCCATCTCGAAGAATATTGGGTGGTGGTGGGGAAAGAATATTGGACATGCTGGGTAGGGTTGGCCTGGTGGGAAAATATGCCTGGGCTGAAAGTCGGAAGTGTTCACTCCACCACTAGTTAACATGTGTTCATGAATACATTTTTTGCTGCTTCTCACTTGGCATCTGAAAAATAGGGGAGAATGTAACCTGTTTTATCTTAAAGGCAGTTTTGAGGATCCATTTATATGGTAGATATAAATGCACATTAAATGTTTAAAAGTACAATCTATATATATATATATATATATATATATATATATATATAAAAGCATAAGTGACCATTCAACCATTGGACCGATAGCTATGATGAGCACTGACCACCAGGGGGCAGATGCTTCGCCCAGTAGGTTAGCTTGTTGCTGGGGTCTGGTCGATCAGGACTGGGTGAGATGGGCCGGACACGCTCTGAAGTCCTCCTGTGGTCCCTCCCCGGCCCTGGCTTGTGCCTTGCAATCTGGGATCCCTCAGGGGATGTTGGAGAGCCAGTTTCGGCCCGATCCCCGCAAGCCAGGCTGAGGGACCCCACTGGTGCACAAATTCAGTACACTGGGCCTCTAGTACATATATAAAATAAGTGGCATTATATTTGACTGTCATTCCCTAATCATTCTCTACTGCTGTCCCCTTTTATATTTGTCAAATACTGCCACTTGAGGGTGTCATAGTTCATTTATTTACTATCAGCTTCCTTCACTAGCATGCAAGCTTCACAAGGTAAGATCTTGTCTTTCTTGTTCATCATTGTGAGCTCAGTGCCTTGAACAGTGTCTGGAATTAAATACATGCATAATAATATATGTTGAAAGAATGAATGGATTTTAGTATTTTATGAGGTCACAGAGCTGCTAACACATTTCTTAAATTCAGTGTATTTGATTTTGGAGATTCCCACTTTTGAGATAATAAATAATTACAAATTTTTTTTCCTAGGAGTATTGACCTACTTTTTAAAGTAGCCAAACTCTCTGATTTGTAAAGATCAGATTTCAGCTACTGAGAGAAGCTGGGTTTTCCGTTGTCTCTCTTTTTTTTTTTTAAATATATTTTATTGATTTTTTACAGAGAGGAAGGGAGGGAGATAGAGAGTTAGAAACATCGATGAGAGAGAAACATCGATCAGCTGCCTCCTGTACATCTCCTACTGGGAATGTGCCCGCAACCAAGGTACATGCCCTTGACCGGAATCGAACCTGGGACCTTTCAGTCCGCAGGCCGATGCTCTATCCACTGAGCCAAACCGGTTTTGGCCGTTGTCTCTCTTAGTAGACATAAATACCCCTTGTCTTCTGAAATAGGTTTAATTTTGTGACTAACAAAGGGGAAAGAGCTCCTTTGGAAATATTTGCTGTGAGGCCCAGATATTACTTTATATCAGTTAAACAAGCCTTTATTAATTTCCTACCTGGATAGGCCTGGGGTTTCGTGTTGAGATAGAAAAATGGTTTCTTCCTTCAACAGTATTCGTGTTCATTTGCTAATTGCTTCACATGATAAGCATGCACTGAGCACCACTCTGTGCTGGACACAGACATCCAGACATGAAGGTGCACTGTCCCTCCTGTCATCGTGCTCAGGAGAGACAGATGTGTCAGGATTCAGGGCTGTGAGTGCCACCGAAGCACAGAGAAGTACTAACTGATGGAAGGGGACCTGCCCGGGAGGAAGAGTTTCCTGCCACTAGCTTCCCTCACCCTGGAGAAAGGATTTATTGGAGGAATACTTGAACTCTCTGTAGTGCAATTACAGTACTTTCCCACTTTTCTGTGTCATAAGACTTAAGGAAAGGGTACGGTTTCCCAGTGCCGATCTAACGGCAGGATCTCTGTGTGTCCCCAGTGGGCTGCACTGATCGGAGCTAGTCTTGAAAGGTCACACTCGGTAAATAGTAGGAGAGAAAGACCCAGAGAAGGCCCCTGCTGGCCATGTGTGTTAGTAACAGCCGAGGCCCTAAAACTGATTCATGAGTCAGTTTTCTCATTCTCTCCTGTGTGTTTGCAGACTTAGCTAGAGAAGGTCTTTCATCTATAACTTGGCCTCACGAATCTTACCTCAGTTTTTTGTGTGTGTGTTTGGTTTTTTTTGCTTGAAGTATATTCTTCCACCTCTGTGGTAATCTTCATGGTGTAAAGAAACATTTAGCTATAAATTATAGGTCCAACTGGATCGCCAGCCTTACACGCTCTATGGCTGTGCTATTGATAGTGGCCACTCTTCTGTCACCAGACTTCATGAAACAACAAGAATTTGCTTTTATTTAGTCTCCAGACCGCTTGGTTTTAAACATAATTTTACACATGGTTATAGAAGCTTAGGTGTATGGATCTTATTTTAATTTAGCTAATATGATAAATCATTGCTATCATAATATCCACTAAATTATTCTACTCTGCTCTTCCCCAAATTACTGTAGTCATAATTCATATACATAGATGTACTTTTTTCTTTCTCTGTTTCATTGTCAGGTCACCATTGTTGCAGACGATAACTGCAGGTTTTTATGCTGGTCAAGAGAAAGATTAACTTACTTCCTGGAATCCGAACCTTTCCTGTATGAAATATTTAGGTATCTTATAGGAAAAGACATTACAAATAAGCTCTACTCATTGAATGACCCCACCTTAAATGATAAAGTAAGTTTTTCTGGGTGTGTTTATTTTGTTAAATAAATATGTACAGTGAGGTATACCTCACTTAATACAATATATAGTGTCCTGAATTTCCATTAATTAGTCAAATGTTAAGTAAAGTGGGAATGCTTCTGGGACTCATTTCTCAAGAGTGAGGACGTTTTGTAATGATCACATTTGCCATTGCGGAGTGAGGTGGTAAATGTCAGGGACCTCCATGGATGGTGAGGAGGTGCTATCCTCTTCATAAAGGGTCTGTGAAACAATCTAAGGAAGGTGCCTAGTGGGTGGTGTGAGGGAATGGGGGGCGGAGTGAGCAGGGGGCGGAGTGGGGGTGCAGGCAGGGCAGTGGGGAGGCTGCAGACTGAGCAATGCTGATGAACCCCAGCGAGCAGGAAGTTGGCATTTTAATCCTGGGGTCTTCCAGCCCTGCACATCCTCTTGGTCAGCCTCCTTCCCCGGAAGTCCACACGTGGCTAGAGAGGTACAGGGAAGAGGCCTGTAGCAGTTTAGTTCGGGATTTCAGAGCTATATAGATCTTCACCAGTTTGCAATTTGATCTTCGTTTCCCCATGTTTACTTAGAAGGAGATTAAAATGATCACAGAAGAGAACTTGGGAAACATCGTTTCTGTGATAAGTACTGTTGTTCTCCGGGGACTATGAGTATAGGCGTATGTTCTCTTAAGTCATCTTGTCTAGGCTGTTTATCAAATTAGGTTGGTGCTTACTATTTTTTAAAATTAATAAATAGACTAAGGAGTATATTAACTGTATTATGTATAGTAATATCCAGAAAATAAAAATTATAGCTGACATTTATTGGGCACTTACTTGGTACCAGGTAGACTTTTTTTTTTTCAAGGAAAAGTAAATGCAGTGATAGAGAATGTATGATCTAAGTCCCATAGATGTCAGAAATCTTGAAACTTTGCTTTCAGAAGGCCAAAAAGTTGGAGCACCAGCTCAGCCTCTGCACACAGATCTCCATGCTGGAAATGAGGAACAGCATAGCCAGCTCCAGTGACAGCGAGGACGGCTTACACCAGTTCCTCCGGGGCACCCCCAGCGTGTCCTCTCTCCGTAAGTTAGCCCAAAACTGATACATGTTGGGATTCTGACGGATGGTACTGGAAATAGACAAATGACAACTTTGACCAGAAAAATAACTTTGCCAGTAATTCTTTGGCAAGCTAAAGGCATCATTAAAAATAATCAGATCTTTTCTGATTATTTTAATAATATCAGCAAAAATCCAACTTTAGATCTTTTATTTCTGTTTCAGAACGTGTTCACTGATTTTGGCACCTACTTTTTTAAATACTGGTTCACTGGAATAACGGGAAAGGGTCCTTACGGTTTGCTGGGTATTCGGCTTTGTTGTTTTCATGATTTTAGTCCTGGTGAAAGCTTAGATCCAGCCATGTGTTAAAAATGGTAGCAAGCAACTCCTGGGTGTTTTACTGCTGGCTGGTTATCTCAGTGTGAGACCAGGTAATGGAATATCCCTGAAATGAAGGAGGCCACTCAACACCCCTGTGAGTTACCCATTCACACACCACCAACCAGTATGTTTTGCAAGATCTCTTCATAGTTTAGACTGTTTTAAGACATTTTAAGTAAAACTGATGATACAGATATTGAAGATTAGTAAGTAAAATGAGAGAAGCTAGATTATTTTAAGAATTAAGTGCTTAAAATTATTTTACGCATTATTCCAAGAGTGGTAGTAAAAGAACTTTGAACAAATTCATGGGAAATAGCAAAAAGACAAAGTCTCCCATTGCATAAACTAAAAACTATTACTATTTCCAAATGTATGTTAATCCAGAGTAACTTTTAGGTAAATATAAACATTCGGCAATCCTAAGTGTCTGTGTAAATGCGTAACTTTGGATGCTTTGGATAAATTGGATTAAGGATTTTAACTATACTTTCAACTGACAAAGGATTGGCAAGCCCATATAATTGGTGCAAGCCTCCAAAGCAAAGTCTAGGCATAGAAATACTTTGTGTACCTAATGTGTACCAACACAAATGAGAAATTGGAAATGATTGTATTTTATTCTAAAGTTACTTTTTGAAAGTAACTGAGGTTAACCAAAGCCTGCAGTCTACTAGCATGTCAAATGTACTGAAACAGTTTGGTGCTAAAGAAGTGTTTTCAAATGGACCCATCTTAGTTATATGTGTAGTGATTAATTACTACGAAAGATCAGCAGAAAGGGAATTATAGTTAAATATTGTATGTGGATTATTTTTACTGTAGAATAGCTTGTTTTTGTAGTTCTTACTTTTGTTTAGTTCCACAGTTTTGCTTACGAAGCACTGAGAACCAGTGATATATAGCATGAGCATTTGTTGTCTTAAAATCAGTTTTGTTTTTCTGTAGTATTTTATTGTATAATCTAAATATTTTGGGGATAAAAACATTTTAGGGGGGAAAGCTTCTGTACAGTATGTTGTTTAAATAGAATTAAAACATGTTTTCAAATTAACATCTGCATTGTACTCGCCTCTGGAAACCTGTTTTCTGGTGCTCAGTGGATGGATCACACATGGGCATACAAACCTGGCTCTTGCTCTAATAATTATTAGCTGTGTGCCTTATGGGAAGTCACATGACCTTTCTCATCCGACATGAACTGTCTGTCATATCTGGTCACAACTCCTGCTCCGTTTCCTTCCCTCTTCCCTACAGTAAACCAGGAGTGTAATCCAGCCACTCCTGCACGGCCAACTCAGGCTTCAGTGTCTGTGAAGACGTGTGCTGCCCTTCAGGGCAGGGCCACATTTTCACTTCTCATTTCCTTGTTCCCTTGTCTCACTAGACTTTAGTACTTTGCTGTAAAAAAAAGAAAGAAAGAAATGTGTGCAACCTGCTTATGTTGCTTACTTAATTATTTAGCCTCAGGTTTATTATGCAAGATCTCACACATTGATACCAACGAGTCTAGCTACCTATGCATGCATATTTTTGAGTGTGTGTGTGAATTACACAGCACATCCTCGTTCACGCCTGCTCCCTTTGACCAGTCCTCATTCTGAATCTCTTGGCTTCCCTCTTGCAGTTTTAATGAAAGACATTAGGGCTTGAGCACAACACTGACACAAATTATGAATTACTAATTCTATCATATAATTCATTAGGAACTGGTTAGTTCCTGTTTCTCTTACATGTTAGCTCAGAAGTACTGAAGGCTGTTGTTTTACATTTGCCAGTCCCATCAATATGCCTCCTGCTTTTCCATTACAAATTACATTCCTTGTAAAACAGAATGCAGAATCAATCTCCTAGGACTGTTGGGCTGAAATAACAAAATCTATCACATTTTGAGCATGTGTGAGGTCTTAGTAAAGGGTAGGTCCCTAAAAGTAGTGACTAAGTTCTTACTATTCGAGTTTCTGATGTGCAAGTGAACAGCCTGGCAGCTGCTCTCAAAATGCTGATGGAGAGAAGGGAACAAACGTCCATTGACAGTAGCAGCTAGTATTTTCCAGGTCCCCTCTGTACATAGCCACATGGACTGGGCACTGGACTCCTGCACAGAGGGGGGCAGATTAGTTTTTGCTAGATGATGAGGCACTCCCAGGCAGTCCCCAACTCTCTGTGAGGAAGAGGCTGCTTTCTTGCTCACGTGCACAGTGAGTGCTGCTCCAGGCCCGTGTCCAGCTCACTCTGGGATGTGGAAGGAGCAGCCACTGTTTGGGCCACTGCCACTGCTGGCAGAGGGAAGGCAGTATGGCAGAGTCATGTCATGGCTCTTACAGCCCCGCCACTTCCGCTCATGTTCTCTGGACCAGAGAAGTCATTTGGCCAGAACCACCATTAGTGAATGGATCTTGAATCCTCCTGCGTGAGGGAGGGAAAGCAGGCATTTTGACAATAACACAATCTATCACAGTGAGTATTGTTTCACTTTACAGGTGAGGAAATGGGAACCATGAGATGTTTATTCGCCTCATTGGGGGTGAGGGGGAGGTCTGCAATGCAGACCTAGGTATCCTGTGTGATTACAAAGCCCATGCTGTTAAAACATATTGCCTCTGTGTATCAAAAAGAGAAGAAAAACGCATATACCATTTGACTTGGCCCTTTATAGTTTAGAGGCCACTCTCACCCCGTTCTTGCATTTGGACCTGCCAGCTCTGCAGGAGGCACAGCAGCTGCTATTGTTCTCCCCGCCGCAGGGGAGTCCCCTACACTCAGGAGAAGGTAGCGCTTGCCCAGAGCCACGGCCCCTCCGGCCTGCTTCATTGGAGAAACCTCCCACCCTCCTACCCTTCATTATAACCACACAGTGCTGCAAGTAGGTGTTCCTGGACTGGTGAATTTCCATTTCGCTGAAATTCTCCTCATATTCTTTGTATGAGGGTTCTAACAGGAACATTTGAAATTAACCATTTGTCTTCTTCCGACTTTTAGCTTTTGGTTAGCTTTCACTTTGCCTCGCATGTGCTCACAGAATTGCAAGCAATGCTACTCTCTAAAAATTAAACGTATTTCATATATTTTTCCTAATTAAACAACTTTTACATTCCAGTTCGTCATTAACTCAAATAATGTAGTAGATCTAAACATTAAAATGCAAATCAGTATCGGCACATATCATTTGCATTTGGTTGATACATCCCTAAAGTCTCTTAATCCCTGAGCTTCCCTTTTATCTTTGGCTGTCTCTCTGTGTGTGTGTTTCTGCATTTTTGTTTTGTTTTGGGGTTTTTTGTTTGTCCTATAGAACATTGATTCTTTTTTTTTTTTTTTTAATCCTTACCTGAGGACACTTCCACTGATTTTGAGAGAGAGATTTGAGAGAGAAACATCAATCAGTTGCCTCCCGCACATTCCCTGACCAGGCCCAGAGACTGAATCCACCACTTAGGTGTATGTCCTGACCAGGAATCGAACCCGGGATCTTTTGGTGAATAGGACGGTACTCCCACCAACTGAGCCACACCAGCCAGGGCAGAACATTGATTCTTAAACATAAAGGAGCGTATGAATGAAGTGGAGTTCTTATTAATGCTTCTAATGCAGATGGGCAGACAGGGGTGAGGCCTGGGGTTCCACCTGGTTAACAGATTCCACGTGATGCCAATGTGTCTGGTCCTGAACTACACCTTTAGCAGCTAGGGCCATAGGGTTCCCTACATTTTGGAATTTTGTTGATTGCATCCTCCTGGTGGTGATCACAGTGTTTCTTGTATTTTCTGTCCACTGGTAGGTGATATAGGGGCTTGCAGAGGTTTTGGTGAAGGCACTATTTAAACATCTTTCCCCGTGTGGGATATAACACTACACACACACTTCATAGCATTACACAGCATATGTGCAGTGTAACAGAAATGCCGTTCAGAAACTGGTGAGGGGAAACGTTAGGTGAACCATTTCAGAGAAATTTCTGCTGGCCCAGTTCTTACATTGTGCTCTGTTTTTACACCTCGCATGATGCTTAATCCGAAGCAAGATCACTGCTCTCTACGACACAGAGTCTGCATTCCACATCAAATTCTCGTTTAAAGGGGAGAAAGTGGAGTAACCAGATAGCCCAAGAAAAAAATGGTTTCTCCCCGTTTATTCAGTAGCTCAGAATCCGCTTAATTTAACTCTTGTTGCTTGCTTCCGGTACTTGAGTTTCATGGGCCAGCCTGGGAGCCTTGGCCAGGCTTTTTAACCTTATGTTCATAGGAAGACCAGAAGGGACAAGGTGTTCAGAACATGTGAGAGGATGTAATGCCCTCATGTGGACATGAGCTTGCTTCTCTCTGCTCCTGGACCAAGGTGCTTCTCAGGTGCCTAGATCTCTACCTTATGAGGTTTGCTCCCCACATGTAATGTGTAACACACACACACACACACACACACACACACACACATTGTCATTGGCAGTTCGTCACTGATAACTGGTGATGAACACAGGTATTGTCATGGCAACAGGGGGACATATTGTGTTTCCTTTAGTTGCAGAACTTTATTTTAGTTAATTGGGGTTAAAAAATCTATTGTTTGTTTTGCTGCTTGCTTGTTGTTGTTTTTAACCCTGAGGCAATATAGGCAGTATACTCCTGACATGGAACTCATC